AGAGACATATAGAGAGAGAGAGTCAGACAGAGAGAGAGAGAGAGAGAGAGAGAGAGAGAGAGAGAGAAACATCGCCAAAACCCACACTCTTGAAATAAAATTCTCTATATTGCCTAGTATGCACTGATCCCCAGCACAGCAATAATTTTTAACCAGCTAAACCTCGTTTTAACTGTTGTTTCAGCAGAGGGGTGACTATGCTTTTCAGAAGACTTGCCTTACCATTATTTGACAAGTATAAGATGCTCATTTCTAAACCTGAATCAATGATCCAGTCAGCTAGTAAAGAAACACTGTAGCGCCCATCTCACACATGGATCCAGTCAGCTAGTAAAGAAACACTGTAGCGCCCATCTCACACAAGGATGGCAGATTTTCCTTAGGATCGACAAAGCTGGATCCAAAATAGCCCCTTTGGCCTGGGCAATGGTGACACACTCCTTTAATCCCAGCATCAGGGAGGCAGAGGCAGTCGGATCTCTGTGAGTTTGAGGCCTGTGAGTTCAAGGCCAGCCTGGTCTACAGAGTAAATTCCAGAACAGCCAGAGAGACACAGAGAAACCCTGTCTCAAAAAACAACAACAACAAAAATTGCCCCTTTGGAAGAGGTCAATTTATCTCTTTATTTGTTGATGATAGTACCCCATTCTTAAAAGACCTAAAGACCCCACCAGAAAATTCTGACATAGGATAAACAGTTGCAACAAAGTTTCAGCACACAAAGTCAATTAGTACCTTTTGGTCCCCTGTGCATGAGGACTGGAGTGTAGTCAGTGTGGCAACCCACCTGTACCTTGCAGGAGGCAGAGACCATGGAATCTCTAGAGCAGTGGTTCTCAACCTTCCTAATGCTATTACCCTTTAATACAGCTCCTCCTGCTGTGGTGACCCCAACCATGAAATGGTTTCATTGCTACTTCATAACTGTAATTTTGTTACTACTATGAATCATAATCTAAATATCTGATAGAAGTTATCTGATATGCGACCCCAAAGGGTCCACAGCCCACGGTTGAGAATCATTGCCCTAGACCAATCTGGCCAGCTAGACTAGCCAGGTCAGGGAGCTCAGGGTTCAAGAGACCCTGCCTCAATATATAAGCAACCGAGGAAGATGCACCACATCAACCTCAGGGCTCCATATGCATGTGCACATACATGTACCTTCACACACACGGGTACACACACATCACACACACGAGAGACAGAGACAGAGAAAAAAAGAAAGTATTTCTAAATAGCAATAGCAAGCTTCGTAAGAACTCTGGGGGCCAGGGATCCCACTGGCAATAGCCTCAAAAATATAAGGCGAGGTAGCTAGCTCAGTGGGTAAAATGCTTCACAAACAAGCCTAAGGGCTAGAGTCAGGATCACCACAACCCACAGCAATGTAGTGCTCAGGAAACGGAGACAGGAGATCAACTAAGTAGGGAACCAAACCAGTGAGCTCTTGGTTCAGACTCTGCCTCAATATAAAAGGTGGAAATCAGCCGGGTGGTGTGGTGCAGGCTTTTAATCCCAGCACTCGAGAGGCAGAGGGAGGGGGGATCTCTCTGAGTTCGAGACCAGCCTGGCCTACAAGAGCTAGTTTCAGGACAAGCTCCAAAGCTACAGAGAAACCCTGTCTTGAAAAACAAAAACAACAACAACAAAAGATACAGAAAGCCATCCCAAGCTAAAGATCACCAGGATTAACACTGTAAAGACAGCTATATCACAAAACTAACCCACAGAGTCAAAGCAAGCCCTATAAAGATTAAAGTGGCATTTCTTCCAAGAATCCTAAAATTTATACGAGTGCCAAAAAGATTCCAAGTGCCCAAAGCAATCCTGAGCAGCAACCTAAATGCTGGAGGGATCACAATACTACATTTTACGCTAAGTACAGAGCCACAGTAACAAACCCACCATAAGAATAGTACAAAAGCATGTGCATCTACCAATGGAATAGAATAGAGGACCCGAAAGGAAGCACCAACAGCTACAGCCAAGTGATGTTTAAAAAAACAGGCACCATAAGCAAACCTTGAGGAAAGATAGTTACTTTAACAAATGGTGTGATAAAACATGTCTCAGATGCATATGGTAGCTATACTGGGTTCAAGTAAGGGAGATCACTGATCTTTTAAGAAAAAAACCACAACGCTCCTTCAAATGCCTACAGTTTGTGCCCAGCATTTTGCATTGCTGGACTTCTTGGGAGCTAAGAATGAACAAACTCTACTCAGAGAAAGGCCTAAAACCCCTGGAGGAGGCTGCACCACACAGACATGGATGATGTGGGAGAAGACATGAAAGGGAGTGACATACCCATTATGCAGACTACTTTCCCGGCAACTTGACCCAAGCCGGAGTCACCTGAGAAAAGGAAGCCTTAGCTGAGAAAAGGCCCGCACAAGACTGGCCCAAAGGCAAGCCTGTGGGGCTTTCTTGTTTGATGATTGATGAGGAAGGGCCCAGCCCATGGTGGGTGGGGCTACGCCTGGGCCTGTGGTCCCAGATTCTATAAGAAAGCAGGTTGAGCCCTGAGGCACAAACCAGCAAGCAGCTCCCCTCCACGGCCTCTGCAATCAGCTCCTGTCCCGACTTCCAAGCTGTAAGATGAAATAAACACTTCCTCCTCAAATTGCTTTTGGTCACAGTGTTTTGTCACAGAAATAGAAACTCTAACTAAAACGCCCACTATGTCTTAGTGTAGACAGGCCTGCTGGCATTTTGCTGTGGAAATTCTGAAGGTTGGGCACTTAAGGCTCAGATGCAGTGAAATTTTCAACTGTCACCTTCATTTCTATCAGTAGGGGTTATTTAGAAGCAGGGTTGTGATCGTATTACCTGTTGCCGTTCGGAACCTGAGGAAGCACTCCTGATCTTGAGGTCATTTGTGGCAAATATTTACTCAGTTCGTGGATTAAGGGGCTCAGGGAACGCAGGTCCATTGGAACCAGAGATGGAGTTGAGCAGTCTAGTCAATCCAAGAGCGCTTCTACCTGGAGTCCAGAGCCAAATGCCAACTGCATTCTTAACCTTTTAAAGCCTCTTACCCTTCTACCCTTCTGGATACTGTATTTGGCTTCCGGTTAGAATCATTTCCTCCCCTCGAGTCAGGTGCTTTGGACTCTCTTAGGTCAATTCCCTGAAAGATCTTCGTCACACTATTTGTAGTCTGGGGCATGCTGACAGGATCACACCCTGCTGGTACCTAGGTTTTCTCTGGCTTCGAGGACAAGGCTTCAGGGTAGTGCCAGGTGCTAGGGTGAAGTTCACAGAGCTTGACACTGGACAACTCAGCAACCAAGATAAATAAATCTCAGTGCAATGGTTTTAAAACACAAAACAATGCAAGATCCTTAGGTTATGAATGTTCAGAACTCTACAAAGACAGGCTCTCATTCTGTGCTAGGATGACCTTGATTCAGGAGCCTCACTGTAATTCCAGTCCTGGGTCCCCAAATAATTTTCTCTACAAAAGCGGATGAGTGACCTGCAGACCTTAGTTTGTCAAAATAAAATCTTTTAATATTCCATTAGATGGTTATCTTGATTCCTGAGGTTGGGGAAGTTTTGTCTGTCTGGAGCGTCTTCACCCTAGGCCTGGGTTTTGGGTTTTGTTTGTTTTTTTGTTTGTTTGTTTGTTTCCCCTT